ATTTTTTTTAAAGTCTAATCCGATACTGGCCTATAGACTAGAATATAGACTGGACTATATACTGGACTATAGTCTAGACTATAGACTGGACTATAGACTAGACTATAGACTAGACTATAGACTAGACTTATAGACTAGACTAGACTAGACTATAGACTGAACTTTAGACTAGACTATAGACTAGACTATGGACTAGATTATAAACTAGACTATAGACTAGACTATAGACCAGACTATAGACTAGACTATAGACTAGACTATAGACTAGACTATAGACTAGACTATAGACTAGACTATAGACTAGACTATAGACTAGACTATAGACTAGACTATAGACTAGACTATAGACTAGACTATAGACTAGACTATTGACTAGACTATAGACTAGACTATAGACTAGACTAGACTAGACTATAGACTAGACTATAGACTAGACTATAGACTAGACTATAGACTAGACTATAGACTAGACTATAGACTAGACTATAGACTAGACTATAGACTAGACTATAGACTAGACTATAGACTAGACTATAGACTAGACTATAGACTAGACTATAGACTAGACTATAGACTAGACTATAGACTAGACTATAGACTAGACTATAGACTAGACTATAGACTAGACTATAGACTAGACTATAGACTAGACTATAGACTAGACTATAGACTAGACTATAGACTGGACTATAGACTAGACTATAGACTAGACTATAGACTAGACTATAGACTAGACTATAGACTAGACTATAGACTAGACTATAGACTAGACTATAGACTAGACTATAGACTAGACTATAGACTAGACTATAGACTAGACTATAGACTAGACTATAGACTAGACTATAGACTAGACTATAGACTAGACTATAGACTAGACTATAGACTAGACTATAGACTAGACTATAGACTAGACTATAGACTAGACTATAGACTAGACTATAGACTAGACTATAGACTGGACTATAGACTAGACTATAGACTAGACTATAGACTAGACTATAGACTGGACTATAGACTAGACTATAGACTAGACTATAGACTAGACTATAGACTAGACTTTAGACTAGACTATAGACTAGACTATAGACTAGACTATAGACTAGACTATAGACTGGACTATAGACTAGACTATAGACTAGACTATAGACTAGACTATAGACTAGACTATAGACTAGACTATAGACTAGACTATAGACTAGACTATAGACTAGACTATAGACTAGACTTTAGACTAGACTATAGACTAGACTATAGACTAGACTATAGACTAGACTATAGACTAGACTATAGACTAGACTATAGACTAGACTATAGACTAGACTATAGACTAGACTATAGACTAGACTATAGACTAGACTATAGACTAGACTATAGACTAGACTATAGACTAGACTTTAGACTAGACTATAGACTAGACTATAGACTAGACTATAGACTAGACTATAGACTAGACTATAGACTACTATAGACTAGACTATAGACTAGACTATAGACTAGACTATAGACTAGACTATAGACTAGACTATAGACTAGACTATAGACTAGACTATAGACCAGACTATAGACTAGACTATAGACCAGACTATAGACTAGACTATAGACTAGACTATAGACTAGACTATAGACTAGACTATAGACTAGACTATAGACTAGACTATAGACCAGACTATAGACTAAACTATAGACTAGACTACAGACCAGACTATAGACTAGACTATAGACTAGACTATAGACTAGACTATAGACTAGACTATAGACTAGACTATAGACTAGACTATAGACTAGACTATAGACTAGACTATAGACTAGACTATAGACTAGACTATAGGCTTGACTATAGACTAGACTAGACTATAGACTAGACTAGACTATAGACTAGACTATAGACTAGACTATAGACTATAGTCTAGACTATAGACTAGACTATAGACTAGACTATAGACTAGACTAAAGACTAGACTATAGACTAGACTATAGACTAGACTATAGACTAGACTATAGACTAGACTATAGACTAGACTATAGACTAGACTATAGACTAGACTATAGACTAGACTATAGACTAGACTATAGACTAGACTATAGACTAGACTATAAAATAGACTATAGACTAGACTATAGACTAGACTATAGACTAGACTATAGACTAGACTATAGACTAGACTATAGACTAGACTATAGACTAGACTATAGACTAGACTATAGACTAGACTATAGACTAGACTATAGACTAGACTATAGACTAGACTATAGACTAGACTATAGACTAGACTATAGACTAGACTATAGACTAGACTATAGACTAGACTATAGACTAGACTATAGACTAGACAATAGACTAGACTATAGACTAGACTATAGACTAGACTATAGACTAGACTATAGACTAGACTATAGACTAGACTATAGACTAGACTATAGACTAGACTATAGACTAGACTATAGACTAGACTATAGACTAGACTATTGACTAGACTATAGACTAGACTATAGACTAGACTATAGACTAGACTATAGACTAGACTATAGACTAGACTATAGACTAGACTATAGACTAGACTATAGACTAGACTATAGACTAGACTATAGACTAGACTATAGACTAGACTATAGACTAGACTATAGACTAGACTATAGACTAGACTATAGACTAGACTATAGACTAGACTATAGACTAGACTATAGACTAGACTATAGACTAGACTATAGACTAGACTATAGACTAGACTATAGACTAGACTATAGACTAGACTATAGACTAGACTATAGACTGGACTATAGACTAGACTATAGACTAGACTATAGACTAGACTATAGACTAGACTATAGACTAGACTATAGACTAGACTATAGACTAGACTATAGACTAGACTATAGACTAGACTATAGACTAGACTATAGACTAGACTATAGACTAGACTATAGACTAGACTATAGACTAGACTATAGACTAGACTATAGACTAGACTATAGACTAGACTATAGACTAGACTATAGACTAGACTATAGACTAGACTATAGACTAGACTATAGACTAGACTATAGACTGGACTATAGACTAGACTATAGACTAGACTATAGACTAGACTATAGACTGGACTATAGACTAGACTATAGACTAGACTATAGACTAGACTATAGACTAGACTTTAGACTAGACTATAGACTAGACTATAGACTAGACTATAGACTAGACTATAGACTGGACTATAGACTAGACTATAGACTAGACTATAGACTAGACTATAGACTAGACTATAGACTAGACTATAGACTAGACTATAGACTAGACTATAGACTAGACTTTAGACTAGACTATAGACTAGACTATAGACTAGACTATAGACTAGACTATAGACTAGACTATAGACTAGACTATAGACTAGACTATAGACTAGACTATAGACTAGACTATAGACTAGACTATAGACTAGACTATAGACTAGACTTTAGACTAGACTATAGACTAGACTATAGACTAGACTATAGACTAGACTATAGACTAGACTATAGACTAGACTATAGACTAGACTATAGACTAGACTATAGACTAGACTATAGACTAGACTATAGACTAGACTATAGACTAGACTATAGACTAGACTATAGACCAGACTATAGACTAGACTATAGACCAGACTATAGACTAGACTATAGACTAGACTATAGACTAGACTATAGACTAGACTATAGACTAGACTATAGACTAGACTATAGACCAGACTATAGACTAAACTATAGACTAGACTACAGACCAGACTATAGACTAGACTATAGACTAGACTATAGACTAGACTATAGACTAGACTATAGACTAGACTATAGACTAGACTATAGACTAGACTATAGACTAGACTATAGACTAGACTATAGGCTTGACTATAGACTAGACTAGACTATAGACTAGACTAGACTATAGACTAGACTATAGACTAGACTATAGACTATAGTCTAGACTATAGACTAGACTATAGACTAGACTATAGACTAGACTAAAGACTAGACTATAGACTAGACTATAGACTAGACTATAGACTAGACTATAGACTAGACTATAGACTAGACTATAGACTAGACTATAGACTAGACTATAGACTAGACTATAGACTAGACTATAGACTAGACTATAGACTAGACTATAGACTAGACTATAAAATAGACTATAGACTAGACTATAGACTAGACTATTAGACTATAGACTAGACTATAGACTAGACTATAGACTAGACTATAGACTAGACTATAGACTAGACTATAGACTAGACTATAGACTAGACTATAGACTAGACTATAGACTAGACTATAGACTAGACTATAGACTAGACTATAGACTAGACTATAGACTAGACTATAGACTAGACTATAGACTAGACAATAGACTAGACTATAGACTAGACTATAGACTAGACTATAGACTAGACTATAGACTAGACTATAGACTAGACTATAGACTAGACTATAGACTAGACTATAGACTAGACTATAGACTAGACTATAGACTAGACTATAGACTAGACTATAGACTAGACTATAGACTAGACTATAGACTAGACTATAGACTAGACTATAGACTAGACTATAGACTAGACTATAGACTAGACTATAGACTAGACTATAGACTAGACTATAGACTAGACTATAGGACTAGACTATAGACTAGACTATAGACTAGACTATAGACTAGATATAGACTAGACTATAGACTAGACTATAGACTAGACTATAGACTAGACTATAGACTAGACTATAGACTAGACTATAGACTAGACTATAGACTAAACTATAGACTAGACTATAGACTAGACTATAGACTAGACTATAGACTAGACTAGAGACTAGACTAAAATATTAATCAAAGTCCACTTATCTTTGAATCCGACAAAAAAATTTATTGCGTAATTTTTAAGAAAAATTCTACGGAGATTAATGCCTAAATTACAAATTCAAAACACAGATATAATAAACAAAAAGCAGGAATTCATAAAAAATTATAATAAATTTCAATTAACATTTATTCCTGCAATGCATTGACTGAATACAATTAAATTTAAAATAAATAATAAAAAAAAAACAAAATAGTAAAGTTGGAGCTAAACAGATTCCTATAATACTCCAGGAATGGTTTGAAATAGTATCAAAAGCAATTCGTTTGTAAAAGCTAAAACAACTCAACCCAAAACTTCAAAATGTTCAAATTCGTAAGTTTTGAATATAATAAAAAATTTAAAAAATTATAAACAATAATTTTTTTATTTCCAGTTGTTTGTACTCATTGCTGCCTTGTTCGCTGTCAGCATGGCTTCACCTTATCCAGCACCAGCCCCAGCTCCCCGTCCAGTAGCTCGTCCTGAACCAGCTCCTCAATATTACACACCTTATGCTTACAGTGGTGGTTACTACGCTTCTCCTTATGCTTACTATGGTTAAGCAAATGCAAGCGACTTTCTGCTAATTATGTTGGCAGAAGTTGTGGTTTTTATGGACTTACTGGTACAACTGGATATGTGACTTGTTAGGTATATGCTTATTGAAAAAAATTAAATTTTAAAAGAAATTTGTTTTAAAATGCACGCTGGCACATGCAACTTGGATTTTTTTTTTGTTGAAAAAAAGTTTATTTTTTCTTTCTTTTTTACATTTCATTACTTTTAATAAAATTTTATTTACCAAAAGAATTAAATTTTGTTCTATTTTTTACTATAAACTCCACGCAAAATTTATGCAAAAAATTTGCTCTCTTCATTTAGCCCTCCAATCGCAACAAGGTTCCATGGTGTAATGGTTAGCACTCAGGACTCTGAATCCTGCGATCCGAGTTCAAATCTCGGTGGAACCTAAGAACATAAATTTTTTTTATTTTTTCAATTTATCTTTAATGCTGTTAGTAAAGCTTAAAAGCTTTTATGTATTAATGTTTTTGTATTTGTTTTCAGTTTGGTTGTTGTCTTAACTAAAAATTTTGGCTAAAAATAGAACAACTACAAAAGCTTTTTAAAAAGCTTTACATAAAAGAGTGCAAGCTTTTATATTTAAGGTTGCCATCTGGTATTGTAATATTTGAACAAAGACATGTGTTTTATAAAATTCCCATATGAGGAAATATTTTTGGGATTTTGGGGAAAAACTGTTTCGAATTAGATATAAAACATATCTAATTTTAAAGAAAAGAAGTCATAAAGAAAAGCTTCAGAAGGAAGACGAAACCCTGGTTTTTGATGAGGAACCAACATAGAATAGAACCAACCATCACGATATTGGAAGCTACGTATTTAAACCATAAACCCAAAATGATTCTTAGTCTATAATGGGTTCTTAGAGGCCTTGGTCTTTATAAAAGCGTATTTAGACCAATACTATCTTACGCCACCATAATTTTATTATAAAGAGTTCTGTGCACATGTTGCTTAGATATATATAAGTCGGGCCAAAGTTTTAGAATCATAATTGTGAACGCATGCAATATATGTATGAGATGCTTGCAGTCGCGCAAATCTTATCTATAGGCGAATATATGTAGGTCATCATTATTCAGAAGTACCCGAATAATGATGACCGACATATATTCAAAAGTACCCGATCAAATACAATAGACTGAAATGGACACAAATTGTGGGCGATTTATCTCTAATAGGCAACCGTGGTAAAATGGAACATTAGCTCAAACACCCGTGAGAATCAATCAGATTTCAACTCTAGCTTCTAGGCAGAAATCAGTGCTATGTATTAAATAGGCTGGATTGAATATGGCGCAGGCGCATGTGAATAGATTTTCCGGCAGCAAAATGACAATACAGGTATTATCAGTCAAAATGCTTGAAGCTAAGACAGTAAGATAACCTTAACAGACTTTTTTTCGGTAGCAAAATCTATAAGGGCACCAGGCCGCTCCGGGATTATTGGTAATGAAAGAGCTTATTTAGTTTTTATTAACAATAGGCAGGGAACTTTAAGATATTAACCTGATTAATGGAAATCTATTCGAAGCAACAGAAGCAGATTGCAAGCCTGAGCTACAGAATCCAACTTAGCCACATGGAATAATGGACCCCAAAATCTTACGAAAAGAGAACAAGAAGTCTCATAACTGGAAGAAAGTCCGTGGTTTGTATGATGGACATACAGAACTTGGGGCACTAATTCACCAAATTGAACGAAACTTATACGACGAATCCACTGAAAGACTTTCTCTGCTATTGTCAAGCCCTTGTCGAATTTAGTAGGCTATTGCACAGACTAGTCAATAGACTAATTACTTGACTAGTCATAGACTAGTTACTTGACTAGTCCATATAATAGTCAATAAACCAGTTACTTGACTACTCAATAGATTAGTTACCTGACTAGTCAATAGACTAGCTACTTGACTTTGTCCTTAAACTAGTTACTAGACTAGTCCCTACACTAGTCAGTAGGCTAGGCCACAAACTTGTCAATAGACAAGTCCATAGACCAGTAAATAGACTAGTCCATAGACTTGTTTCTTGACTAGTCGGTATTGACTAGACTATTGAATAGATTAGATAGTAGACTAGCCCAAGACTAGTTAGTAGACTTGTCCATAGACTAGTTAGTAGACTAGTCCATAGACTATTTAATATACTAGTCCATAGACCAGCCAATGGATTAGTCCATAGACTACTTGCTTTACTAGTACATACACTGGTAGTTTGAATAGTCCATAGACTAGTAACTTATCTAGTCCATAGACAAGCTCATAGTGGAACATAATTACTATACAGTACTCTACAGCAGCGCCTAACTATATGCTTTATCGTCTTATCGCTCTTCAGCATCTTTGCATCAGAACTCTTTAACTATTCCTTTATGTACATATTTTAATTTTAAGTCGATCATTGGGATCTGCATTTATAAAGTAGTTCAATTTTAACTATAACCATAGGTTCCCTATACAGTTATTGTGGAGTTTTATCACTGGCTAATTTCAGTTTTTTGTAGTAATCTATATAGTTCAATTTTAACTTCATAACCTTAATTTTTAATAAATTTATTTTTTCTCCTATAAAATTTTCTGCATTAAATTATTACATCAAATTTTATCTAATCGATCAAAATGAAAAATAGATGTACATTTAAGTAAAATTTTGTTTTAAAGTATTCATTATATCATTAATATTATAGAACAACATTGTGTTCAAGTACATTCATATATAATATTCTATAAACTCCCATAATAGGACCTGTGGAGCCATCAGACAGTCGTTACGTACATATATAATATACAACACGTTAGGAAGCGAAAGAGAGTAATACTCATCACATCAACATCTCTAGTTTGTTTTGTATTTTTTACAAATATTCTTATCATTTTCCATACTCTTTCCCCAATGTCATGATGTCTCGTAATTAAGATTTATACGAAAGCCAAATTGTCTGCCAAGCTGCTTTCAAAGTTTTGAACCAACACACACACACACCAACGCTAAACAACTGTTTTACTTTTATTTGAGGAAAAGGATACAGTATTGTGTTTATTCATGTTGAAATAAATGAAATTTTATATGAATGTTTGAACATTTTACATCAAACTACCACCATTAAAAGCAACATCAACAACAACGTAAAGTGAGAAAATGTGAGAAATCAAGGAGTAAGTAGGAGAACATAATAACTCCCCAATAAGAGAACACATTTTGCAAAGTGTTTGAGAATCCTGCAACAATAATAAGGATAAGAGTGATTTTTAATGATGCCAGATTTTTTAATTAAAAGCTGGAAACAAATAGCTTATACAGTTGAATAGTCTTTAGACTAGTTAATTTTAGTTAGTTAATATACTAGTTCATTGACGAGTCAAGAGTCTAGTTACCGAGCTAGTCCCAATTGCCCAGTTCCCAGTCTTATCTAATTAGTAGACTAGTACATAGTCTAATTAGTAGACTAGTACATAGTCTAATTAGTAGCATAGTACATAGTCTAATTAGTAGACTAGTACATAGACTAGACCTATTTACTTGACTAGTCCGTAGACTAGTTACTTGACTAGTCATAAATTAGTTACTTGACTAGTCCATATACCATTTACTTGACTAGTCCATACACTAGTCGGTAGACTAGTCCATAGAGCAGTCAATAGACTAGTCCATAGACTAGTTAATTGACCAGTTCATATATTAGTTAGTTGACTAGCCCATAGACTAGTTACTTGACTAGTCATAAATTAGTTACTTGACTAGTCCATAGACTATTTACTCGCCAAGTCAATAGACGAGCAACTTGATTAGTCCATAGACTAGTTACTAGACTAATCCAAAGACTAGTCAATGGACTAGTTGCTTGCCTAGTCCATACGCTAGACAGTAGACTTGTCAATGACTAGTCAACAGACAAGTAACTTGAATAGTCCATAGACTAGATAATAGCCTAGTACACAGTACTAGTTACTTGACTAGTCTATAGACTAGTTACTTTACTAGACCACACATTAGTCAGAAGACTAAAACATATAATTGTCAATAAACTAGTCCATAGACTAGTTACTTGACTTGTTCATAGACTATTTACTTGACTAGTCCATAGACTATTTACTCGCCAAGTCAATAGACGAGCAACTTGATTAGTCCATAGAATATTTACTAGACTAATCCAAAGACTAGTCAATAGACTAGTTGCTTGCCTAGTCCATACGCTAGACAGTAGACTTATCAATAGACAAATCCATAGACTAGTTAATATACTAGTACAAAAGTAGTCCATAGACTAGTGATACTAGTCATAAGACTAACCCATATACTTGTCAATAGACTAGTTACTTGACTAGTTCATCGACTATTCAGTTCACTAGTCCACAAACTAGTTATTTGACTAGTCAATAGCCTAGCAACTTCACTAGTCCATAAACTAGTTACTTGACCAATCCATACAATAGTCAGTAGACTAATCCACAGACTAGTCCATAGACTAGTCTGTAGGCTAGTCTGTAGACTAGTGCATAGACTAGTCTGTAGACTAGTCCATATACTAGTGCATAGACTAGTCTGTAGACTAGTCCATATACTAGTGCATAGACTAGTCCGTAGACTAGCGCATAGAGTAGTCCGTAGGCTAGTCCATAAACTAGATACTAGACTAGTACAAAGATTAGTCCATAAAGCAGTATAGCCTAGAGAGTATGATATAGACTGTACAAAGATTAGTCCAAAAAGCATGAAAATCATTAATCATTAAAAAATCATAAATCATTTCACCTAAAAAAAAAACGCCACTAAAACAAGCGATTTTTAACTACTTTATCAAAAACAATAACTGGCAACCCTCTTTAAGTTGGCATTTTTGAGAGGAGGCTCACAAAGTCTACACAAACGCCAACCAACGAACCATCACATCTGTAAAAGCAACGGGAATAAACAAACACAAACGGATTGTAACGGTAAACAGAACGGATGTTAAACGTGACACGAGAAATACAAAAAATGTGTGTAAAATAAATCTTTGAATAGAAAAAAAAAATCGGAAGAAAAAAAACTGTGATAACAAAACAAACAATAAAATAGCTCAAGAAATACTCAAGAAAATCAATTTTTTATATGAAAGAAATTTATAATAAACTGACAAGTGAACAAATTTAAATAAA